AAAAAAACTTGAACGAGTTGGATCAACAAATTCTAAGTTGCAAACTCATTTGGCACACGAGTGAGGGGAAGATGTTGGCATGCCAGATGCTCATATCCTCACAAAAAAAAAATAAAAAAAAATAAGGAAACTTATTAGAGATGAATCTCAACATTTCTAACGGTTGCATTATGATTCTAATTCTTTGATAGTGACACTGGAGAGCGCGGGAAAAATTGGCAATATGTGAACAAGGATGACAGCACTAACTAAAGAAAGCATGTTTTTTAGATGACACAAGTGTCAGAAACGACAAACCAGAATTCGACAAACAAGAAAAAGGAAGTCAATGTTGAGACAAGTAATTGGGCCCAAGTAAAGAATTGTGCCACAATAATTACTTACTAAAGTTTGGTAGCAATAATCACAGAAATTTTTACAAGACCCTAGAGCAACATCCTCACCTCCAATGCACCATTATTCCAGTGCTTGTCAGCAGCACTTTTCAATCTGGATTGAGCTATGTTCTTCAATATCTGTCAAAAAACCAAGCACAATTAGAAAAGAGACTAAACATTTTCTTAGATTTGTATTAGCAACGGGTTAAGAAATAAAAGAGAAGAAAGAAGAAAAAGAGTGGTCCTTTACAGATGCAACATGATGAAGCCTTTCAGCTTTTCGCTTTACATTATGATCGACCTTTACAGTATCTTCCTTGGCTCGTGCTACCAGACAACCAGGTCAAGAAAAAAAAAATACTTAGTAACTTTAATAGATCAAATTAATTTAGCACATCACAACGCACAATCTTCTTGGTCACCTCTCATGAAATCTCTAAAATACTAGTATCAATCAATTGAATGAATTTGATATGGGATAGGTGCTTGCATGAATATTAAAGTACAGGTAAGATACACAACTTTAAGAAAATGATCAATAGCAGGTGTCAATATAATGTCATGCTCCATATGAAACTAAGCATACTTTCACACACAAATTAGCAATCATGAAATACCGGAATAGCAGATTGTAGAGTTCAGAAACTTGAAATTTAGGTCTATTTACTACAGCCTCAATAGTGTGGCCAAGAAATCCTTACCATCAAGCTTGAGAAACTCAGAACCAAGAAAAGCAACATCTTGCCGTGCACGGGCATCCAATTTCATAATGCCTCTAGATGGAAAATTACATTATTAACAGGTACGAATGAGTATAGGATAAGGTTATATGCCAAAATTACATTATTTAAAACAGTAGAAGCAATACAAATCAAATACAGGGCGGGCTATCCAAGATTGCAACAAATTACTTTTAGTTAAAGTGAAAATCATTTTACCGTGAAAGAAGTACAATGTCACTTCTAGCCCTTTCATTCACGAATTTTGCATCATTAGAAACATATTTGCATGCTTCAGCCAATCCTAGACCAGAAGATATGTTTTTCACAGTCTCCATGGAACTCTCATCTTCGCCATGTGTGCTGATTCAAAACAGAAAACTCTTGTCAAAATCAAATATAAGCTCAGCTGGTACACAAAAAAATCCTGATGGTATAAACTTCAACACTGCCACAAATGATGCAGAATGATGAAAACCACAGGAAATACTAGTATAACCAGTTAATACTCAAGTAGTCAGCTGAAAAACATGGCAAATATTAGTGCTTCGTCTGAAATTTCTAATCAGTTAATCAGAATTAAAACAGCTAATGACTATCAAATAGAATGACGATTTCACCACAAACTTAGGGCATCTCTATTAGGAAGCAGCATATACCTTGAGGTATTTGAACAATCACCAAAGTGTCCCATCCGTTTTCTTGTTTCTGTATTGTGTGTTTCGGTTGATTGACATACCAAAGGAGATCCTCGAGATCCAATGAGAGTATCTGAATATATTTTTCTACCATAAGGCCACAATCCCTTGGAAGAGAACTTCAGTTTTGATGCTGAGTGATGTAAACTGCTCTGTTTATGACTGACTCGCTGTGTTTTGGTGGATAACTTAGGGAGGTGAGGCAATTTTTCTGATGAATAAATGACCCCATTTAGTTTGGCCATGATTTAGAACCACAGGAAATTCTACTTTCAGGTGAGCTTGGCTTCAGTTGAGAATCACTGAAGATAGAATTTCCTTAAATAATTGAAGCCTGCAGAAATAAATAAATAAAATTTATACACAGTAGATAGTTCATGTGGGTAATTGAACCGTAAAATTGATGCCGAAAAATTAATAGGTAGTGCAATTCTTTGGATGATAACTATTAGCTATTAAGTGTTGACATCAGATATACTGAGACGCCTATTGAAATCTAGCTAAACTTTCTTTAAAAACTTGGAAAGGAAATATAAAAGAGGAGACGAGGAAACTCATCTATTCATGAAAAACTAGTATTAAATCAAATTGATTACCCATGGACAAAATTTGAACAGCAATATTAGAAGACAGAGACTGGATATAGGCTTATGTGGTATTACGGTTAAACTACTTGATAAATCATTTGAAACACAAGTTAGCAGATAAAATTTACGATGAAGAATCAATGGCTACTCAAACAATCACTCGAAATATGATCAATCCAGCTCCCTTCATACATCCATTTTCTTGACCAGGCTATCGCTTTACTTTTTGACTTGATTCTATAAACACATTATCCGCAGTTAATGAACACCTTTCACACCATAAACAATGCCTCTGTAAACAAAGTACTCGCTCCATGCAACTATATCAATTAATGCCAGTTAAAACATAAATCCGAAATGGAATCAACAAACATCAAGTGTCCAACATAAGCATGATAACAAAATGCCTCCTAAACCTAGGATAGATAGCATCAACTGCTAAGTAATTCTGCGTTTGATCTCATTTCCCAACAAGAAAGGCTATTCAGTAAATTACAGAATCCATGCTTCAGCTCTTTTATTTACGGAAAAATATGTTTGTGCTTCCCGTGTTTTGTAACAATTAGCCATAAATAGCTTACCATCAACACCAGCATCACGAAAAGTCTTAAAAATCATGAATTACATATACTACCGAAAAAAAAAAAAATGAGTTTTTTAACTAAAAAACAAGAAAGCCCAGATCGTGTCATAAAGCACACGCCTTGATAACGGAAAGTCAGTCTACGAGCATTAAAAAAATGGTGACTCCATGAATTACCCACCTCGCTTGAAACTGAGCACATGAGGGAGGAGCGAGGCGGAGAAAAGAGTGAGGGTAGGTAAGACTTTGAGGTTGGAAGTGATGCGGACCATGGAGAAAAGATTGAACAAATTTGAACCACAATCTCAGCTTGTGGTCCCTCAATCGCCAACGATACGGAACAAAGAATGAAAGGATCAAAGGACGAGGAAAGAAATGCATCACTTGCTGATGAGTTGCTAACAGCACGACCGCCTATATTGCGTTCTTAACAAAGTTAGTATTTTTAATATTTTTTTTTTTTAAAAAAAATGACGACTAAATGAAAATTCGAATTCAATTTAACTCGTTTCCACGAGCCCGAGTGGTTATCACACACCCTCGGTTGTTGTTCTTTAACGACAGCAACAAACAGAAAGGCATAATTATTTGTATCTGAATACCGCCCCTCGTGCGATTCAATCCATCTCCTTTAGATCTTCTCTTTGCCCCTCACAGCCCCTGAAAGAGTTGTATTCTTGGTTGGGCCCGCCATTACTTCAGATATAGTCATGGACGAAACGGTCATTTCTCCATCGCCACGCGCACCAGAACATAGTCTCGGCTGAACCTAGATCCGAAAGGTTGCAAAAGATGTTAAGAATGGAGGTCAAGACCTGAATATTCTATCCTCAATTACATCGACCCTGGCGGTGGAGTATCGACCTTTACAGCGAAGCCTTTGAAATACGGTCTCAGATAATATTACTAAGCTAAGGCTAGGACTCTTATTCAAGACGAGTTCTGCAATTATCCTCTCCTGGAAGCAAAGGTTGGGCTGTGGGTGGCAGGACCTATGCGAGGTATCCGAGACTTTCGCTCCGAAGGCCTACCGGGATGGAATAGAAAGAACGCGAAAGGCTAGCTTAAGAAATGTGCTTGCCATCTCGACTCATTCATGCGGGGCTATCAACCACTCAGCCATCTCTCCGAAAACCATTCAATTTGTGGGAAGAAAGGTCTTCTAGGGCGGAACTCCAGGTTGAGGAGTTACTCAGAATGCTGCCAAGATATCAGTCAAGAACTCAAAAATCTGAGGGGTTGACTGTTCGTGAACGTCACAACCGATGACCGGGCGACTGTTTACCAAAAACATAGGTCTCCGCAAAGTCGTAAGACCATGTACGGGGGCTGACGCCTGCCCAGTGCCGGAAGGTCAAGGAAGTTGGTGACCCTGATGACAGGGGAGCCGATCAAAGAGTCTTCCTTCTGATGTAATTGTCTAGTTGTGCTTTGTAGCTGGAAACCCTTGGGGGAGTGGACCATCACGCAAGTTAATCGTGAAGTCAACCAGGAAGCTGATGAGTTGGCAAGAGCAGCATGTTAATAGCCCTTCAACCGTCTCGCCTATGAGTTGAAGCTGGTTGCTTATCTCGTTCTAGTGACTTACCATACGAGGTACAACTGAAACTTCCACGACCCACCAACTGGGACGCCCTTCTCCTTCATAAAAGAGCGCTCAGCCTTCGTAGCTTCTTCAACTGGTTCGATTACATTGACCTCGAAACGACCCAAGAAAAGCTCACAGTCTTATTATTTTGTCTTTCTACTAATGTCTCCTGGAACGATAGAGGAAAGATATCAGTAGCAGAAGACAAATCGTAGGAAAATCAATCTTTATGACCTATCAGTCGGCGAAGAGGCCGAGTTTGGTTAAAAGTTCCATTCCGTCCATGGTGTCTAGTTGTGCTTTCTGTGGGCAAGGCTCGATGTAATTGACCTCAACCTATTCATCAGGGTACTTACCTTGAATTTCGAAAAGGAAGCCCGTCTGAAGCTTTTTTAAAAAATTATTATTTGAGAAAGATATGGTGTAAAACTTAATTCCTAAAAATATGAACGATGATTTACTTAAATTCTACAAGAAAATTTGGCCAATAATGAAGAATCTTGAAAATCTTGCTTCCAAAAAATCCGATCAATCATTTCCTTAGAATTTTTTGGTCAAACGTGTAAATTTGGTTACAAAAATCCGGTCAATCATCTAACGAATAAAAGGTTTGAAATTATTTGAAATCTTTTCGAAAAGTCATGCCAACTTAATTGTTAAATATTTTTCTATACAATTTTATGGTCACTTTTAAAAAATTGTATTTATTTAATAATTCTGTAAACAATTACCTTTCCTGGATGTCTGTATTGGTTTTCTTTCCCTATTCTATGCCTTGGAGCCTAAATTTAGAAAGCCAGAGTGATGGGAAGAGCATGTTTGTTTATAGAAATTTTTGGTTTTATTTTTATTTTTTGATTTATTTTGGTTAAGTTTGAAAAATGTGGTATGGTTAGTGTTTAGTGGATATATTAAAATAATATTTAAAATAAAATAATTAAAATTAATTTGATGTAAAAGTATGAGAAAGATTATTTGAAGTGATGGTTAGTTAAAATAATGTGAGTGGATGAATAGTGAATTAAGGTTGATGCGGTGTGTATAAATGATTGATTGATATTATTTAATGAGAAATGCTATAGGTACATAATATTATACATAGGGGTGTACATAACACTCACATTGAGTGGGACCCACCAAAAATAAAAAAATCAAGTGGACCTCACCCCGTGTGAGTGTTATGTACACCTCTATGTACATTTATTATGTACTTGTAGCATTTTTCTTATTTAATTATATTGATAATATTGATGATAGTTGGGTTGAGTTAAAAAAAGTGATTGAGTTAAAATGTTGAATTTTTTTAACAAACATGCTCGAAAGCTCTAAGGGAGAGACTGGTTTTT